AAACTTTCTGTAAAGTCTGCGAACGGCACTGATTTAACAATACTCAGTTAAGGTAACGAGAAAAATAGCAAAGGTTCAAGTAACATGACGTCAACATTATTAGTAAAGCCTCGACAACAATGTAATTGCAAATACAACGTACAACTCTTACCAAGTTATGTAACCAAACTCATCATAACTATCGCCTTTAAAATGATTAAGTTTTAACTCTCTTGTTATTAAAAACTAAATAATCATTAAATATTAACGCACAAAATAAATTAAATAATAATGGCTACACTAAACAGTCTTCTATATCCAACAGTTACTAACAGTTCTTTTTCAGTTACTGAAGATATTGCCTACAACTTTTCCAACAAAAAAATAATAACTTGTAGCAACTTAGCATCAAAACCGAAAGCATTAGCATGTCACAAAAAATAATAATTGACAAAATAATCTGTCAAGTCGAATGTTCATAATAAAAATCATGATAGAAGTTTACCTCTCACACTCCTCATAATCAGTTCATTACAAATTTCAAATACAAGTAACAGCAGCATTTCAGATCTTTTCTACATCAACTTGTAGCCACTGCATTGTCAACATAATGTTTGATAAACTTAAGTTACAATAACCTGATGCTGATATTCACTAAGTAGATTCTTGATGATAAATACCAAAGAAATTTCATAGTTTAACCCACTGATAAGCTAGATGGAGATAACTATATGTCAAACAATTCATTTCATTGACTTATGAACATACCATGAATTATGACTAAAGATATATCAGGTTAAGTTTTCTTATTCCTTATTTGAAATGCCAGTCTCCATTCTAATTCTTTCTTGACTGGTATTAATGTGGACTTACAATTAGAGCTGGGTGATTAGTAGAATTGGTGTGATTCTTGAGAATACACTAGACTTTATTCACAGGTATGTTTATTTGTTTTTTACAATAAAACGACATTTGGTTATCTGTTGTGTCCACCACCACAGGGAATCAAACCCTGGATTTTAACATTGTAGATCCATGAACTTATCACTGTCTCACAAGGGGGACTCTCACAGGTGTGTCTTGACTTCCAGAAAGTCTTTGATGAGATACTGCACAACAAAACGTTAATTAGAGCTTGGTTCTTATGGAATTGTTGGAAAAAGTTAAAAAAAAAAAGTGAATGGCTTGTTATAGAAACATGCACATTTTTTAACAGTGAAAATGTAAATATTGGGAACCTTTGAGGTTTCTTTTAGGATTATTGTTGTTCATATATATATATTTCTTCTCCTCAATAATTTGAGGAACTACTGAGGCTGAATCAAATTTACTAGTGATACTAAAATGGCTGGAAATTAAGGCTGATTCAATTCTGAATGAAGATTTAATATAAAGAGACCTGAACAGTTTTAGTAAATGGAAAGAACATTTAAAATAAGTTCCAATATTGACCCATTTATACTACTTTTGTAAATAATGAGCAACTTATAATACTTAATGCAAAATACTTTTTATGTATGATTATAAGACAGATTTATATATACCCAAGTTGTATTAACAGCTTTTCAAATAGGTACAATGACAAGATAAGGCAATGGATTAAGGAAGTGTAAAGTCTTGTACTTTGGGTATGAGCTTCCAGAAATGTTATTTTTTGGTTGTTGTAAGAAAAGAAAATAATCCGAGTAAAAATCAATACATACATGAAACCTTCAGATGTGTGTCTGGTTGTGGTGGAAATTAAATACTGTCAGAATTCTGGGATATACTTATAGAAATTTAAAACTGAAGGATAAAAAATATATTTGTTTGTAATTAAGGACAAAGCTATACAATTGGCTATCTGTGCTCTGCCCACCACGGGTATCGAAACCTGGATTCTTGCGTTGTAAGTCCGCAGATATACCGTTGTGCCACTGGGGGGCCACATAATAAAAAAGGATTTTGTTAATTAACAAAAGACTTTTTTCAAGCTTTATTTACATTAGTGTGTGAAGTATTCATCTCTTTATTACAGAGATAATACAAACATGTTGTACAAATAATAACTAGTTAAAACATTTGGTCAAAAGATAGATATTTAAAGATTTGGGCTTTTTGTCTAGAGCATAAAGAACACTAAATGTGACGACTTGATTCATGCATATAAAATTCTTAATAGGAGGTATTTGGGGATGGAAACGGGTTGATTAGTACCAGAAAGCTGGTATTAGTCTGTTTGGACAAACATTTTACTCCATTAGTTATGAATTCATGCAGTAATTTTCCTGATGGTGGAGTGTGATGTTATTTCAAAATTGTGTTTAATATTGTTAGTTGGTTGTGGAATGGGTTATGTATATTTTGGGTTGATTTATTTTAGAGGATAACATTCATGGCCTAAATGGCCTTCTGTCCCCTTCCCCAGTTTTCTGTTGTTAAAACCACAATGTACCGAATTGAAAATTAATTTAACGTATAATATTATAGAATTTCTAGTTAATAAGAGCAATAATATAAATAATTCAGAATTGTTTTTTATACATTCTATAACAATCTCATTGAGGTCCTCAAATACCAAACTATCTAAATGTAAACAAGTACTATCAACAAAATAGCAAAAGATAATAAACACTTTTTCAAAACAAGTTTAGATCTGAAAGTTATATCATTATTTCTGATCTTAACAATATAACTCCTTCTATGTAGCCTAACCATGCCCCAAAAACTTGAGTCAAGTCATCTACATATTTTTATGTACCAGTAAAAAAAAAGTATCCGTTTAAGTTATACTCACATCTTTTGTTTTAATTGATGTATCCCTTTCTTCATCGCTATCAGTATCTTTCCTACAGTAGGGAGACAATCTGAACACAGAATCCAAAATGTGAATCATACACAAACTGACAATAATAAATGAGCTTTTAATCTTCAAATGTCTTCAGGTAGATTAAACAAACTAAATAATTATCATCCTCATAGTCACACACTCCATTATTATAGACATTCTCCATAATTACATTACGATAATATTCCTCTAAAACAAGTGAAAATAGCATCACATTATAATACTTGTAACAATATAAATAAACTCAGTTTATCTTCAACAATACTAATACAATCAATTTTGTATTAACCACAACAATAACAATGTGTTGTACATTTTACAAAATGTGCTGAATCAACATTTGGTTTTTGTATTATAACACAAAGAAATTAGAAGCCCATGAATGATCTTGTAGATTTCAAAAAGATCACCTCCTAACCTTTTTTTTTAAGAAAAGGTTAGTTAACATATTTTAACCTATCCTCATCGTACCTATCACTGGAATCATCCTAGTAGCCCTCCTCTGAACCCTTTCTAATAAATCAATATCATTTCTTAAATAAGGAGTCCAACACAGTACAGAGCATTCCAAATGAGACCTAACTAGTGATCTTTTTAATAAGCTAATTATCTCTTTTGACTTGAAATCAATGTCTATAAATACACCCTAAAATTATGTGTTGCAAGCAACAGAGCACTGCCACGAGTGCTTCAATGACTTATTGACCACTATGCCAATATTGACCACTATGCCAATATTGACCAATATACCAATATTGACCAGTATGCCAAGATATTTCCTTCTGTCATGTTACTGAGGGGATTTTCAAATACATTAAATGTTGGATCCAAATTTTAGTAAATCAAATACAATATATTTTCCTTACCATAAATAAATGTCATTTGCCAAATATTTGTCCAACAAATATTGATCAGACATTCTGTGGTACCTCAACACCCCCAATATAGTTAGAAATACACAAGTGTTTAATGTCATCCACAAACTTTACTAACTATATGCTTTGTGGAGATCAATTTAACCACACATACACACACTTAATTAGTTGAAAATAATAGTGCAAAATCACTATGATTTATGGGAAATCAGTAAACTCTAGTATAATTCATGTTTACATATTCTTCAGAAAATATCTATAAAAACTTTCTAAACATGCAAAAATAGTTTTTTATATTACTTATATGAGTTAATAATATTTTAACAGCTACTGTTTATCATTTTTAACTATTTTCAAAGGTCTATTTGTTTCTAATTAAAACAAGCAAATAACAATAAAAATCTGCAAAAGTTCAAGCACTAGCAAAAAATTTGATAGGAGAAGGTAGGACCCAAATTAGCAACATATCACACCTTCATATAAAAATATTGTTCACTAATTGACAGACTTAATAATTCTTCTATTTAATAAGATGGTTAGTCAAAAATATATTTAGCCAAAAAATGCACTCAAATTTTGCTTCTTCTCACATGCTTATGTTATCCAAAGATGGCATCCCAAGGACCGATGATGAACCTCAGGAAATGGGAGATAAGGGTAAAACATACCCGACTGAGTAAGTCAACAAATGGGGAAGGAGGCCTATGCACCTCCCCTGAAATAACACGCGACTGTGAGGCATAGGCAGTAAGGGGAAACAAGCTGTCCAAATCCTCATCATCATGTTCAGACAAACCTTCAAA